GTTATATGTTAATTGCAAGGAGTTTTTTGTAAGGTTCATTTTGGGAAGGGCTTTTCACTCTTGTAAGTCTTGAATCTATTTCTTGAAAAAAAAAAAAAAAAACTTTCACGAAAAGCTACGTCTGGCAACTGGGGGTTAGGGAAGGATTCTTTTCAAGTTTTCATGTGCACAAGAGAGCTAGGTCATTAACAATGGTTATATACACCTTTCAACCAATTCTACAGAGGCAGATAAATAGTTTAATGTGCATTTTGACAAGACTGCATCTTGAAAGAAATAGATATAAACCAATAAAATATCACTTCTATTTTTCATTAACGAGGTTATGGGAGGAGAACAGGACATGAGAAGGATTGGGGAAGTCATTAACTGTAGATACAAAGAATGGTGGGTGGGTAGTTAAGGATCTGCAAAAGTTTTGTTTTGTATGTCAGTTTTTAAAAAATAGTTAAATTTACTTTTTAAACCATTGCATTATAAAGTTTGTCATAGTAGGCTTTCTTAGAAGTCAATATATAGAGTCGTTTAAACATTTTTTCATATTGGACCAATAATATATAATGGAGTTTCTGAGGAAAATTTGAACTTTTCTCAGCACGTATGATGTGACTTTTAATAGACAATATAAAAATATTTCATTAGAGTTCCTTGGAACATTCTTGTGTTTAAAATGGATTGTCAGAAAAACTAATATTTTTATGGAGACAAGCAGGAAGAGAGTTATTCTGGACTAAAGCCAACACACAACACATCGAAGAGGTGTGGCTTTTGTGATAAAGATAAAAACTGCACACTTGCAAAGGTCATTTTTTTTTCCTTTCTTCCAAAGGTCAAATGGTGTTATATTTATATTGCTCTTTAAAACTGTGATTAAACATTTTTTTTAAAGATTTTATTTATTTATTTGAGAGAGAGAGAATGAGAGAGAGAGAGAGAGAGCGCACATGAGAGGGAAGAGGGTCAGAGGGAGAAGCAGACCCCCTGCTGAGCAGGGAGCCCGATGCGGGACTCGATCCCGGGACTCCAGGATCATGACCTGAGCCGAAGGCAGTCGCCTAACCAACTGAGCCACCCAGGCGCCCTGTGATTAAACATTTTTATTTGTACTGTCTGTAGCTGTTAATCAACATCTGGGTAAAATGTCAGAATCACTTTTCATCTTTCTTAAGTGCTTTTCTTACTACTCAGCAGCTGGGATAAGAGTCACACTGAAGGAATGGTTGTTGTCTCTGCCTTGCAGTGTGGGCTGCCGGGGGTGGGGTGCGGAGGGGGTGCTCAAGGCAGATGGTCTTTGTTTTAAACCCTCATCCATGCAGTTCACCTCAATATGGTCAGTCTGACAGCATGTTCCGAAAGATTGATTCGAAAACAGTCACTTAATGATCAAGGTAAAAGAAAAATACATTTAATACTTAAGGGAGTGATTTTAAGGACTCAGACTTTAATTATGATTCAATTGCATGGTTGTTGACTTTTTTTTTTTCCAGTGTCAGAAACAAGACCAGGATATAAGGAAGTGGTTTAGACGGGAATCATCAACACAGAACAAATCTGCAGTCGAGTCCTATTTCTGCCCTAACCTGTGACTCACCAATGATGAGTGTTCAAATGAATGGATCTTTTGCTTCATGTTGCTCCATGAAAATAACAGCCCAACATAAGAAACGGTAACTCTATTTTTTTTTATTCTAGTAAGAAGCAGAATCGCTTTTATTTAGGCAAATAACACAGAAGGTAAATGGTAACTCTTAAGTGAGTTGCATTCTTTAATTAATGCTCAAAGGATAGTTTAATATATTTAGACACAAACCTTTATGAAAACGCAAGGTAATATGATAATGCGTTTTAATTGGTCAGGCTAAATTAGAAAATTCTAATTTAATTGTAGCAGTTTTCTCAGTGCCCTTTGCTAACACTCACTGATAAATCTATGAGATATCCTTTTATACTTGGGCTGAGCCCGGAGGGGACTGAAATGAGTAAATGACTCCCTTAGCACACAATGTTCAACCATGTGAGGTAGTTTTCTGCTTCCAGTCCTCCAGAGTACTCTCCATCGTGTCAAATGAAATAATTCCTCCGAACTGTTCCTCAGTGGCCTAAAAAAGTGAAATCTTTGCATACATAGGGTAGAGACTCATAAACTTATGGTGAATAGTGGTTGCTCTAAATTTCCAAAGTTAACACTCGATGTTGAAGTTGTGGTCAAATCAAAATAGACACTGAAGAAACATTTACATTTCTGAGAATGCCTAAAACCTTCAGTGCTATTTTCCATCTGGAACAGGACTCCGTGACAGTTCAAGCCTTTTGGACAAAAAGAGGAATTAGCTATTGTTTGCCCTTTAAGCCACAAAGGAATGCCGGACTAGGGTCCTGTTCTCAACCCTCTTCAAGAGGAACCAGGCCATCAGTGCAGTGACTGAAGGTTACAATGATCAAAGGTCTCTCGCACACACAACCAAACGGCTTGTCCTATGGTGGTTCAATGTGCATGTCTTAGAACCTAAAGGAAATGCTTTTCCTTTAAGAAATTATTTTATGAAAATAACAAGTGAGAACATTTTCCTGTCATTTACCTTTTTGGCCTGAATCATGATATATTTTCTCCCATAGAAGTTAAATTTTAGTCAAAATAGGATAAATTATACTTCTCGAGGTGGTCCTAAAACGCAATCCAACATCCCAAATTATTTAAGTTCGCAAAATGTTTCCCACTCTTTCCTCCTACCAAAAGCAAGAAGCGTTAATAGCCTCAAGATTTATGCTATCCACATAAGCATCCTAATTCTGTCTAGATGTCAGCTAATTCCTCTTCATTATGGATGGACCTGTGCTATTCTAAGTAAGTAGTGTAACTAAAATTCCATATAGCACTATTATACTTACAAACTACAAATACCCGAGGAGCTAAGTCCCCAACCAACTCAGTGATTTACCCAGTACCAGCACTAGTTCAATTCATGCCAACTTATTTACACATCAGTCTCGGCTGAGTCAGCACACTCGCTCCATCATGCAAGTGGAAACACATACTCAGCCTACCTGTTCTGTCATGAACCAGAAGATTTAAAAATATTTCTGATTAACATACCTCAATCCGTATTACTTCCACATCATAGCAGGCTTGCCAGAAACTGATCTGGGGTCTTTGAAGCAGAAAGAGTTAGAGACAAAGCTGGAGAAACCATGCCACTTGTGACTTGAGTGGCAATTTACAACACTGAGTTAAAACATCTCGAACTGTCTGCAATCCAGGGTGAACTGGACAAGTTTTGTCTAATGCCATAACAGATCGACACGCATGATGCTAAGCAGGGCCATGTAGCGAAGCCTCAGCTTAGCAATGACTGCCCTTTCATAGACAGATTTAGGACAACTTGCCACCATCGTTCTAAGACTGACTTAACTTTCATTTATTTTAGAGAAGTAAACGCAGACAAGGCACTTCCACCCACTGAATGTGTCCTACTTTGGTGACACTGTTGGGACTCTCTTTCAGTCAGTCAGTTGAATGTTACCTAAAAGCCCCAAGGAGTATCTGCTTTCATCTTCTTTACTGATTCGATCCAATATAATTAAGAAGAGTAATGGATTATTTCTAACATATAAGAAAAGAAGGTTTTTTATTTTTAATATCTAGTTTTTTTTTAATTTGATCATCTTCATTGTTTAAGGAAAAGAATCATAAATGCTACCCTACTAACCACAAGAAAAACTTCAATGAAAATCTAGTCAAAATTAAAGAACTCTGCTGTTTATGACCATGATTCTTGACACCAAAAAGCTTGGAGAGAAGGAAGTGTTAAAGATTAGGGTTTTATTTATTCAGTTGGTTGTTATCCCATATCATCACACATTGATACCTTTCAGGCATGCAGTTACAGAGTTAACCTCTTTCTAGCAAAGAGTGGAATTTAGGTTACTCAGCAGCCACTCCCAGGAATCCATTCACTCTTGTTCTGGAACGGGTCTTCATCCTTTCTATTTTATCCAGAGATTCATCCTTCCCTTTTCGCTCATGACATCAGAAAGGAGACCTGTCAACTCTATGCTCTAGGATGGAGAATGGGATTTGGGCCCAAGTTGATCAGGTCACTGCATTCCACTCATGATGGCAAATGGCTCTAAGGACAGCATATAATATAAGACAGATCAATTAAAATAGTGAATCTTATGACTTTTGGTAAATATATCTAAAACTAAGATCTACCTTTTATACTGCAGTTTCTCCTGGATAAATAGAAAGGGATATGAAGATCTGCAAGAACATTTTTACATGACAAATGGAAGAAGAGGCTCCGAAAGCACCAGTACAAAGGAATGTGCTAAGATACACAGAGAGAATAACCAGAACCTTGTAACCTAGTAACATTGCTTGAACCCTGGATCAAGCTTCCCACGAAGCAGAGTTATTATTACATTTAAGAGTTATGAAAGCCAATAAGTATATTTCCTTTTCTATAAGCTATTTTGAGTTTTTTGTCACTTCTTTGTCACTTCATAATTGACAGTTTTATTTATCTTCACAGCAATTATATGGTGTAGATAGTATTATTCATATTTACAGAAGTGAGGAAACTTAACCTTAGTGAACTTAGGCAAACTGCCAAAGGTCACCCGTTGGTAAATAGCAGAGTTGAGTTTTGAAGCTATATTCACTTCACTGTAAATTATACCTTCTTAAACATTACGAAATAAAGGCTTCTCTGAAAGGGGGGCGGGGATAATGTGATTTCAAAATCAACTCCTTACAACTGATCTGTCACCTGTTTTTACTGGCTTCAAGTATGTGGACAAATAACCCCATAAAGACTGAAATAAATATGATTGAATAACAAAGTCAGAGAGCTTGTGAACAGTTTGTACAACATATGTCATATGATTCACTTGTGCTTGATATAATTTATACTTCTTATAATTGCATAACCTTCCTCCCAATAGTAGAATGAATCCTAAACTGACGCTTTCCTCTCCCCTCTGCCTGGCTCATTCTGAACTGGATATGACTCATTCTGTTGATCTTCGCTTCACCATAAGTCTTCCCAAGGAAAACTTGTTTTGATTAATATTTAAAGTACCTTGGGGATTGTTTCCTGTTTTTCCTCAGCTGTCTACCCCCTTGTCATTATCTCACAGATGATTTGTTAGGTGTGCAGGTTTGTATTGTTTCTGATACTACAAGAAAAACAAGTAGGGCAGTGTTTTTCCAACTGCTATGCCCAGGAAGCTGTGGAGAGGAGTGGATGTTACATGGTAAGTTCCTGAGTACAATTTCAAATTTTTTTCAAAACAGTGCTATGTTTCTTTTTAAAACATTTAAAATTCCTAACTAAAAATTTCCTTTAGAATTACATTACCTGTATGCATGTTATGATTTAGATTTTCTCTGTCCCTTAGATAGTAGCACAACAAGAACAGGGGAACACCAAGCAGTACAATTTAATTTATAGCTTGCTATGCAACCTGGAGTAAACAGCTCAACTTCTCTGATTCTGAGTTTTATTCCTGTAAATTGGAGATAATAACAGAGTGCAGTGTGATAAATTCTGGAATACAGATATGATGATGACATTAAGGGAGAACATTTAATCCCCACCCCAGAAGGAGAAGAAAGATTTCTGAATTGATGTAATAGCTAATATGAATTTTATAATTCAAGTGTAAATTTATCTGAAGGAGGTGGGGGAAAGAGTAGGACAGTTCCAAGTTGAGTGTACCAAGTGCAAAGAACCAATATATTTAAAAATCTTGTGCAAGAAAGAATGTAGGGAAAGTAAATGTCTAAACCCATTGTGCATTAGTAAACTACAAGTAATTCAGTGTAAAAAAGTCAGGAAGTGGATGATAAATCAGGATGGGCAGAAGAATAAAGATTTCTTAGAAATCAGATTAGAGATTTTTATCCTCCATCAAAGAAAGAGGCATGGAAATAGGATAAAGGGTTGAGAAAATTTATTGAATTTACTTTTCTAAAATATTACCCAGGTGGCAGTGTGCAAATGTATTGGATGGACCTCAACTCTTCACGACATGGTGACTTGATGAGACGAAGGTGATTTACAAAAAAGACTGGAGGCTCCTAACTTGGTCCTCAGGGTAAATGATGATGCTATTCATTGAGAAAGTGTCATTCAGGAGAAGCAGTAATATTTGGTTGGTGTGAAGGGACACCTTTCATTCTTTTATTACTTTGGTAGCTAATCACTTTGAGTTTTTTTTTTTTAAAGGTTTTATTTATTTCTTAGAGAGAGAGCACGAGTCCTGGGGAGGGCCAGAGGGAGAAACAGATTCCCCACTGAGCAGGGAGCTGGATGTATGCATGTGAGGCTTGATCCCAGGTCCTTGAAATCATGACCTTACCCAAAGGCAGATACTTTACCGGCTGAGCCACCCAGGTGCCCTGGTAGTTAATCATTTTGTCCTAAGTAAATAGTTCTTCATTTTGAAGATCCCTTACTCAAATAACATATTTTTTCTGTCTCCTGAATTGACCCTTACTGCTATTATATGTTTAATTACATAACTATTAAAAGTATAAACAAAGAAATAATATACAAATAAAAATAAGTAGCTATGATAACTAACAAAATAAGAAAACGTTGTGTTTTAGGAGAACCTTTAAAAAATTATTAAGAACTCATTAACCAAAGAAGAAATCAAAATGGAAATTAAAAAAAAAAAGAACTAAACTAAATGAGGATTCTTTATGTGAAAACTTCCCTATGCTAGAAAGCAAATTCAATATTAATGATCTAAACTTGTAACTTAAATTAGAAAAAAATAGCAAAATAAAAGTAAGATGATGGAATGAATGAAAGGATACAGCAGAAATCAACAAAATAGAATACAACCCACAATAAAGTAGAACAAAGCCAAAAGTTGGTTCTCTGAGACAACTGATAAAAATTATAAATCTCTAGTTAGGTGAGTAAGACAAAAAGGAAGAAGGTACACATGCAAAAGTAGTAATAAAAATAAAATCATAATCATAGTCATTAGTGTTTAAAAATGAAACATAAATATCTTTGTTTTTAAAAAACTGAAAACTTACATGAAATGGATGAATTTCTAGAAATGTAAAACTTAACAGGCGGTGCAGCATGGAAGCTTCAAAGTTTGGATTTTGGAATCAGCTGCCTGGGTTCAAATTCTGCCTTTGCAAGCTGCTGCCAGAGTCCCCTTGAGGAAGTGATAAACTCTCTAAGCCTACATTCTTTAGGTGTAACATGGAGGCAATAATAGTTCCTAAGACCGATAATTCCAAAGCAGATTAAGAAGAATTAAAATATTTGATTGGCCTTATAACCAGCAAAATAAATCAGTAATTTAAAAACTTTCCAAAAAGAAGACTCTCCATCCTAATATCTTCCTGACGAAGTCTATCAAATACAGAAGAAAGAAGTAAATGAAATTTTACACTTTTTTTGTTTGCTTGCTTGTTTTTTAGCTAAGAGAGAAATAAAAACTTTCTCCAATTCAAATTATGAAGCTAGCATAGACGTGATAGCAAAATAAGACAAGGTTAGAATGAGAAAGGAAAATTACATTCATGGATATAGATGCAAAAATCCCAAATAAAATATTAGCAATCTGATTCAGCAATATGTAAAAAGAGAATTCAGCATTGCTTAATTAAAGGCATTCGGGAGAACAGTATTAGTTTAACACTATGAAATCAGTTAACTTGGTCTACAATGTCAACTGATTAAACAAAAATAAAAACATAAATTATGACAAACTGACATAGATAAGGCATTTGATAAAGTTCAACAATATGTTCTAGAGTCAAACGTTTTGGGTTCAAGTTACGGCTCTGTGTTTACTATGTGTAACCTTGCAAAGTAGTTTATCTTTGTCTCTCAGTTTTCTTCTCTGTAAAACAGAGTTCATTATAGAATCTTCTTTGAAGGAATGTTGTGAGGATAAATTTAGATAATTCAGGTAAATCCTTTAGAAAAACACCTGGCAGATTATAAACCAGCATTGTGATTATTTCATCGTTATCAGTATCTGTGGCATTACTACTCCAAGATGATGCCTATCATCAAACTCTAATCTCCCAACATTAAAAAGTTACCTCTTGGGGTGCCTGGGTGGCTCAGTGGGTTAAAGCATCTGGGTCTTGTTTTTGGCTGGGGTCATGATCTCAGGGTCCTGGGATAAAGCCCTGCCTTGGGCTCCCCGCTCGGCAGGGAATCTGCTTGAGGATTCTCTCCATCTTCCTCTGGCCCTCCCCACCCTCTAAAATAAATAAACATCTTAAAAAAAAAAAAAGTTACCTCTTGGGCCACAATTTCTCTTCATCTACTACCCTACCACCAGTTTCTGTTATAGCAACACTAAGAATTTTCTATATTGGGGCACCTGGGTGGCTCAGTCGTTAAGCGTCTGCCTTCGGCTCAGGTCATGGTCCCAGGGTCCTGGGATCGAGCCCCGCATCGGGCTCCCTGCTCGGTGGGAAGCCTGCTTCTCCCTCTCCCACTCCCCCTGCTTGTGTTCCCTCTTTCGCTGTGTCTCTCTCTCTGTCAAATAAATAAATAAAATCTTTAAAAAAAAAAAAAAGAATTTTCTATAAACTCTCCACTCTACCTTTATTCTATTTCAATTTCAATCATGTTTTGTCAAAGTTAGCCATGACCTCTATTTTACTAAATCTGATGACACTTTTTCTGTCTTTGTCTTGTGTATACTCTCAACAGAATCTGATACAGTTGGGTATCTTTCTTTCCTTTCTTTCTTTCTTTCTTTCTTTCTTTCTTTCTTTCTTTCTTTCTTTCTTCTTCCTTCCTTCCTTCCTTCCTTCCTTTTTCTTTTCTTTCTTTCTTTCTTTTTTTTCTTTCTTTCTTTCTTTTATGATATTGCTCTGATGTCACTTTTCATTCTCCAGATCTGTATTAAATGTAACCTTTGATGCTCCTAATCAGGGATCTCCCAGTCATTCTACAGCATTATGCTATCATTTTCCCATAACACTTATGCCATCAAAAATGATCTTAATTTTCCTTTTTCTTTTTAATTTCAACTTTACTAGATTGTAAACCTCACAAGAATAAGATCTCCTCTATCTCAGTCATTGCTGTACTTCCAATGCCTTCAACAGTATGCCTAGTGGATTATAGGCACATGCTGGTTAAATAAATTGATAGAGTAAATGACATAACACATAAACAGATGTCTGACATGAAGTAGACACTTAAGGAATGATAATTTTTTTATCTTTCTAGTTTATATACATCTGAATGAAAGTTATTAATGGCTTGTTTAGTTAAATGATCGTGAGTGGTATGGCTAGATTCTCAAATATAACTCCAAAATAAGCATGGCCCAATGTCCCTATTCTAAACCGCCATCCTGTATGTTCCTTTCTTTTCTCAGTCAGTCAGAAATTGCCATCTCATTTGGATTATCAGCTCTTTTCATTCTCTCCGCAGAGCAGTCGGTTCTTCCTTTATCCTAGCCTTTGCCTCCCAGGGACGCTGTGCCTAGAAACATCACTCCTTCACCTAAGCAGATCTGCTGCTAGCTTAGTCCACTCAGCCAGATGTCTCCTCATGCTCATGATTTTTTTTTTTTCAAAACACCCATTGTTTCTCTGGCAAGCTTCATTTCTTTGAGCAGTGTCCATTCCCTTGCTTAAGTTTGTACTTAAGAAAACTGCAGTAATGGACATGATTCAAGTTCTCATCTATGAAATTCCATAAACCCATGTAAATTTAAAAATATGACCAGGCATGTGCTCCAATGAACATTCTGTGATAGGTCAAGGAATTCTCCAACCATTCTGTAGTAGTTAGGCTTGTCTACCAGCGAACACTGAGGGATGGAAGTAGCTTCATTCCTTCACACGCTAGCCGAAGACTCTCAGCTCTGACCCCCCAAACAGCGTTACTGCTGTACCTTTGCAATATCTTAAAAATCAGTCAATGCAGTAACATGCACAATCGTTTTTATAAGAAGTAAAACTGCTTTGAAAGATTGAATTGAGTACTTGTTTTATTTAACTGATCAATAAGAAAGAACTGACCATCAGATGGCCTGAACTGGACACTTAAACAAAACACTATAATTCAAATTACGGTTACATACATTATTTTATTTCATTTATAGCATTATGAGAAAGTTAGAACTACCAAAAGCTATTATCACCAGAAATGACCTAAGTTGTCATCTACTTCAATTTCTTTATTTCTATAATAGTGGTGATAATGACACCACATTACTGATTTGAGTTATCTTATTCTTTTGTTAAGATGCTTAATATAGTTTTAAAATTAACTTTAAAATCGACTTTGACTAGTCAGTGTTCTTCTGTCTCAGTAATATTGCAACCCATGTCAATTATTCCAGATACGTGATATTCTATCCTATATGGCAGCAGATTTTTAATACTGTTTAAATTAAATATAGGAAGAAAATGTAAATTAGAAAATTTTAAAGATGAAGATGCTGTAACATATTGGCAGTTGTCATACATGTATTATCTTTTATTTGAAGACATGGCAAATGCACAGAACTCGTACCATATTCTGCTAACTCTGATACCAAAGCTTGACATGTGCTAAAATGTTAAATCTACCAATGTCATTTAGTAGTACCTTCTGTGAAAGTGTATTCAATTTTTTTATATCAGTTTTCTTTCTTTACAGATATGATTTTGGAAGTTTCATAAGGTATTCATGACAAAGAGAACTCTATTAATTTATTGTCCTGGTAATTTTTAACATGGCTTTATGGAATCTGTTCAGAAGAATATAAGTACCTGGAAACTTACAAGAAATTTTGTCATTTTTCTGTATACCAATTGCCTATCCATAAAAGAGAGACCGTTAGCTTCCATTAACAGCTACGACCAGGGTAATCATGGAGTCATCCAGTAACCCTAAGATACTATGGCAGATTAGCTTTGCCAGTCTAACTGCCACATCCTTGCTGTGAATCTCTACATGCCAAACAGACCTTTTCTGGGGAAAACTGAAAGGGAGAACAAGGTTAGAATCCATGGGTTCATTTGCTTCCACGATTGTTTTGAGGGCGTGGGGCTGGGCTCAGGTATGTTTCATATTTTAAGCAACTTCCAAGAAATTATTATTTTGTTG